TTCACCCGCGGCTCCGCAGGGCGTCCCGCTCCCCGGGGACATCCAGCCCCGCAGCCTGTCACCCCCTGCCCTTCCCAAATTCTCCCCGTGCTCTCCCAGGGGATGTTTTCCCTGCTTCCCGGGGCCGGCGCTCCCATTCCCTGCCTGCACCCTCCCCAGCATCGCGCCCGCCGTCCCTCCAAACCCCAGCTCCCCTGGCCAGCCCTGTCCCGCTCCCCAGGGCCCAGCGGGGTGAACCAGCTCGGGGGGCTCTTCCTGAACGGCCGCCCCCTCCCCACGTGCAAGAGGCAGAGAATCATCGCGCTGGCGGCGAGCGGCGCCCGCAGCTCTGACATCTCCCGCAGCCTCAAGGTGCGCCCGGCCCGGGGCTGGGGTCTCCTTCCCCTCCCGAACCCTCCCCGCGCTGAAGTTCCGCCCGCAGGTCTCCAACGGCTGCGTCAGCAAAATCCTGGCCCGCTACTACCGGACGGGGGCCGTGGGGCCCAAGGCTGCGGGCGGCAGCAAGCCCCGCACGGCCACGCCGGCCGTGGTGGCCAGGATCGCGCGGCTGAAGCTGGAGCAGCCCGGGCTCTTCGCCTGGGAGATCCGCCGGCAGCTGCACGCCGAGGGAACCTGCGCCAGCAGCGCCATCCCCAGCGTGAGTCCTCCGCGGAGCCCCGGGGCTGCGGGAATGGCCGGGCCGGGCAGGGCAGGGGGGCCCGCCCCACGGCCGGGGGGCGAAAGGGATCGGGAGAGTGGGAATGGTGCCCCGGGACAGTGGGAATGGTGCCCGGGAAGGGCTCGGGACAGTGGGAATGGTGCCCGGGAAGGGCTCGGGACAGTGGGAATGGTGCCCCGGGAAGGGATCGGGACAGTGAGAATGGTGCCCGGGAAGGGATCGGGATAGTGGGAATGGTGCCCCGGGACAGTGGGAATGGTGCCCGGGAAGGGATCGGGATAGTGGGAATGGTGCCCCGGGACAGTGGGAATGGTGCCCGGGAAGGGATCGGGACAGTGGGAATGGTGCCCGGGAAGGGATCGGGACAGTGGGAATGGTGCCCCGGGACAGTGGGAATGGTGCCCGGGAAGGGCTCGGAGTGACGGGAAGGGTTCGGCTCCCTGGGAAGGACTCGGGGATGGGAAGGATCCGCCGGGAAGGGCCCGGTGCTCGGTGAGACGCGGAGCTGGAGCGGCTGGGGAGGGGAAGGCAGATCGCTCCTTCCCGGCGGAAGCGGAGCCCCGACCGCCAGCCCCGAGCCCGGCTGCTCCTCGGGCCTCGGGCCGCCGCGGTGGCTCCGTGACAAGTGTCCCCTGGGCGGGGAGGGCTGCGCTTCCCACCCTGCGACGCCCCGTTAGTTCTGTCCGTCCCCGGGATGCCGGGGTCCCGGATCACAAACAGGGAGCAGACGGGCTCGGCCCCGGGCCGGAGAATCCCTGGCTCCGGAGAGATCCCGGAGACAGCTCCACCTCCATTCCTGTCCCCCGCAGCCCCGGGGCTCCCGTCCCCTCCCGGCACATCCCTCTCCCCTGCCCAGGTCTCCTCCATCAACCGCGTGCTCAGGACCCTGCCCAGCGACCTCCGGCTGGCGGCCGAGCCTCGGGACCCGCGGCCACCGGGTGAGCCTGGCCCCAAAGCCCGGAGCCCTCCTGGCCCTTCCCGGCCCCTGCGGGGAGCCGCCAGCCCCGGCACCGGCTCCAGCCCCTGTCCTGCCGTCCCCGCAGCGTCCCCCGCGGCCCCGGGCGGCGCTCCGGGCCGGCGGCTCCGGGCGGGCCCCGGGCGCGGCAGCGGCGGCAGGAGCCGCACCGTGCTGTCCCGGCAGCAGGCGGAGGCGCTGGAGGAAGGTGCGCTCCCCGCGGGATGCCGGCTCCGGGCGGGGCGGAGCGGGGCTGCTCCCGGGGGGATGTCCCGGGATTCCCGGGATTGGGGCTCTCGGGATGGGCTCTGCCCCTCTGGGTGACCCGGCCATCGCTGCGGGGCCCCAAACCACCCCAGAGCACCCCAAACCACCCCAGAGCACCCCAAACCACCCCACGGAGCCCCAAACCGCCCCACAGAGCCCCAAACCACCCCAGAGCACCCCAAACCACCCCGGAACGCCCCAAGCCACCCCAGAGCGCCCCAAACCACCCCAGAGCGCCCCAAACCACTCCAGAGCGCCCCAGAGCACCCCAGAGCACCCCAAACCACCCCAGAACACCCCAGAGCGCCCCAAACACCCCGGAACGCCCCAGTTCGCTGGCCCCGCGGCCTGGCTGCAGACACGTCCCGGCATCTCCTGCCCGGGTGCCGGGGCTGGCTGGCCCGACCCGGCCGGACCGGACCCAGCCCGGCCCGGTGCCCTTGCAGAGTTCCGGAGGGGGCAGTACCCGGACAGCCGCACCCGGCAGAGCCTGGCCGCGGCCACGCAGCTCCCCGACAGCACCGTCAGGGTAAGAGGGGCCCCCTCGCCCCGAACGGCCGCGTCCCGCTGGCCGGAGCGGCCCGGAGGGGCCCGGAGGGGCCGCGGGACCGGGGCCGCCGGGCCAGGGGACAGCGAGCCCCCGGGGACAGCTCCAAAGCTCCAAAGCGTGGCACCGGGACGGGCTCCGGGTGGTGGCAGTGACTCCCCAGGGCTGGCTTTGTCCGGGCTCGCGGCTCTCTCCATGGCACATTTCATGGCACATTTCATGGCACATTTCATGGCACACCTGGCACACGCCCCTCACACGTTCCTCGCAGCAGCTCCAGAGCCACATCCCTGTGCCCCTGCCCAGCCTCTGGGTGTCCAGGCCGTGCCAGCAGCGAGCCCCCCGTGCCAGGGCAGCGCTGCCTGGGCACCCCGCGGCACGGCAGAGCACACGGTGTGCTCCCCCCATGAGGTGGGGAAGGTGCGGGATCAAAGCCTTCCTCTGCCCAGGACCGTGCCCGTTCCCGGCATGGAGCCACTTGTCCCTGTCCAGGTCCACGCTTGGGATCAAGACCGTTCCGATGCCCAGAACAAAAGCCTTTGCTCTGCCGTGCCCATGCGTGGGACCAGGACACGGGCATTCTTTTGCCCACGCCCGTGCCCGGTGCATGCGTGGGACCAGGACACGGGCGTTCTTTTGCCCACGCCCGTGCCCGGTGCATGCGTGGGACCAGG